GGGAGGGGGGCTCGGGGGGGGTAATTTGGGGGGTGGTCGGGGGTCCGAGCGCTCGGTGACCCCCCCCAGGTCGAAGCGGTTGATGGGGATGACGCCGGGGGAACAGGAGCTGTCGGAGCTGGAGTGGAGCCGCGCCCGGGACCCCGCGGGATGCGAGTCCAAGGAGAAGCAGCTGGCCGAGCAGCTGCTGGCCCGCCTCGAGGAGATGCAGTGAGTGGGGAGGGGGCTCCAAACCCCCCCTGCGCCTCCCCAAATGCTCGGGAATTCCCTCCCTTCTCCCCAAGTCCGGAAATCCACGGAACGCCCCCAAAATCCCCGGGACCGCCCAGGGCTCGTCGCACCGCTCCTGAATTAGCATCACTCCGCCCCAAAGGCGTGTTTGCCTCCTCAAATCCGTGTGAACTCCCCAAAATCCTCGTGAACCCCCCCAAAATCCTCGTGAGCCCCCCAAAAATCCTTGTGAAAACCCAAAAATCCTCGAGAACCCCCCCAAAATCCTTGTGAACCACCCCAAAATCCTTGTGACCCCCCCCAGGTCCATGGAACCACCCCCTAAAATTGGGTAACTCTTCCCCAAATTCCTACAAACTCCTCAGATCTGTGGGTTTGGACTGGTCCTAGGTGAGATTTGGGGGGGGGGTCCGATGAGGTTTAGGTCTCAGGTGGGATTTGGGGAGGTCTCAGGTGGGATTTGGGGGATTTTGGGGGCGATTTGGGGCTCATCCTCCTCTCCCTCCGCAGCCTCACGATCTCTTCAGATGAGGAAAAAAGGTGAGGGGGTCTTTGGGGGGAGTCGGGGGGTCTGGGAACACTCAAGGGCTCCCGGGTGGGTTTTGTGGACCCCCCCAGAGCCCCAAATTCCCCCGGACCTGCCCCGAACGCCCCTCCCCAGCTCCGTCATCTTCGGCGCCATCGTTGCCTACATGAAATTCCTGGGCGTCAGAACCAAGGGTGGCGACACCAAAAAATCCAAATCCAACTTTTTCCGCAAAAAGGTGAGACCCCCGCGCCCACTCCCC